ACATTATCCAATATGGTAGCCTCTGACCACATGTGGCCATTGAATACTTAAAACATACTTAATATATCTGAAAAATAAGTTTTAAACTTTACTTAATTTAAATGTAAATGTTCACATGTGGCAAATGGCTACTGAATTGGATGGTACAAGCCTGGATTCATTATTTCACCAGTGGTGATATTACTTTTTCATTAGCTAGAATTCTTTCCCTTACCAAATCTGACAACCTCGATACACAGCTCATCAGGAAAAGCATACTGTGGGCCTGGTTTTTAAAAATCTTTTTATTTATATATTTTTAGAGTGGAAAGGGGGAAGAAAAACATTGATGTTCAAGAGAAACATTGGTTGGTTGGAACTGGCAAAGTCCTCAGGCCAGCACTCAACCCACTGAACCACATCAGCCAGGGATAGACCTTTTTTTCAAGTGGGCACTGAGCCTGCTTCTATAGGCAATTTTTATTGGGGTAGCCTGGCCTTTTGGTCCTTCCCAGCTCTGTAAAGCAGCAGAGCTACGAGGGGTAAATACATCCTATTTTGGTTGGATTGCAATTGTAGTCTATGCATCATTTTCAGGGGGTCCGGAATAGATACTATTGGTGCACCATATTTCTCCCTCAATGCTCATCTTTGATTTGTGCTGCATCTGTGGTGGACAGTTGTGCACTCAGATGGCTTTCCAAATGAAATACCTACCGTATCTCTCAGGAGTCTGGAGTGTTAACATCCCAGGATCAGCCTTCAACCAAGGAATTTAGAAGTCATTAACTAAACACTCAGCCTCAGAGGTACAATTCAGGTGTATACTATACAATTCTTCAGTGAAGGTTGCAGGCAGGATTGAGCCTCATTGCCCATTGTGGTAACACTTCAATTACACACCTTTTACTGACTTTCTCCTCTTTGTTCCACTCTCTCTACTCCCTCATTCTAGCTTCGTAGGATCACTTCTTAGCAAACTACCTGCTTCCAAGTCCTTGCCTCAAACTTTGCTTTTGGAGACATGTACATCAAGGCAAGATCTCAAAATATTTCAGCCCATGGCATTTATTTGCTCCGAAATATTCACTGAGTGATTATAATGAATCAGACAGTGTACTACATGCTGGAAATACAATGGTGAACAAGAGATCAAGTTAAATGGGTTATACAGATTAATAGGGAATACTTGACTAGTGTAGTAAACAATATAACAGTAAACATAGGTGTTATTAGTTGTGAAGTGTGGGCAGGTGTAGAATCCCTGAATTGTCCCTTGCAAAAATCATATTGCTAGGTGTTAAGAGAGAGTGAGTGACAGAGGACAAGGCAGACAAAAGCATCTCTAGCTTAGACTTTGTGCCCAATTCCTAAACTTCAGTTTGGGATTAAAGAAAACCCAGTTGGCATGCCCCTGTCATTTCTTCTTCAGGGTAACATTCATTTGGCCTTCGTAGAGCCTTCTAGTGGAGAGAGCCTCACGTCAATCTTACTGCATGAATCCAGTGGTGCTTCATAAAAGATCAAGGTTAAAAAAAGAACCACTCTCTATCTCCTGCAAAATTCCCCAAAGAGAACACACCCTGCCTGCAAAGCCAAAACTTAATTCCTCATCACACAAGAACTCTGTGGCCTTAGAACCTTGACCTTGCCACAACCATAATCTTCCTTAGTGCTATATTAAATGGGGAAACTGGAACTCAATAAATGTTAGAATGTGGAACTAATATGAATCCCTCTCCCTTTTCTTCTTGTCACACCCCTAAGTCTTCTGCTGAAAGGACTTCAGAACACTGTGTATACCTAGTGAGAAAACTGTCCTGACGCTTTCTTACTTAAAAGTCACTGTTTTGAGGCTATTCTGCCAAATTGGTCTTGGCTCTTGGTAAGTAGTTTTTTTGCCAGTATCTCCCCATCATGGGAGACTTGGGTTCTGAATCCATCAATGGCTCAGCCATTGATGCTCCAGAGCTCCAATCTTTCCATAAAGTTTTATTTTTTTAAGATTTTATTTATTTTTAGAGGGTAGGAAAGAAAGAGAGGGAGAGAAACATCAATGTGCAAGAGATATATAGATTGGTTGCTTCTCACATGCACCCAACCGGGGACCTTGCCTGAAACCCAGGCATGCGCTCTAACTGGGAATTGAACCAGTGACCTTTCTGTTTTCAGGACAATGCCCAATCCACTGAGTCATACTAGTCAGGGATCTACAAACTTTCAACAGGGTAAACATAGAGTTAAACTCCCTGTTTTCACTGCCATATGAAAAATGAACATCCTGGTGATAACCTGGTCTTTAAATGAAGCTGAGAACTGATGCTATCTAGAACTTGTGGAGCATCCTCAATTTTTTCTGTTAGTAGTTAACACACATTTTACTTGTTTATCTCTTCAGCCAGACTCTAAAATCTTTGAGGACACAAATAGTGTTGACTAAATAAAGGCTTCTATCAAGTAAGACTCTTTCATTTGCTAATGACAGAAAACTGAATAAACTCAAATTAGCTTAAAGCAAAAACCACAAACCAAAAACAAACAAAACCTCAGCACCTTATTACTTCATGTAACTGCAAAGTCCAAGGAGCAAGTAATGTTATAAGGAGCTCATTTCTTCCTCCTGGTTTTCATTTTTTGCTCTCCTCTCTGCTATGTTTGGCTTCACTCTCAGGCAAATGAGATGGAGGCCCCTGGTGCAGCACATGTAATTTTTAGTTTTGATAGAACCCAATTGTCTTGGCTTGATTCACATGACTATCTCTAAACTAGTTACAGAAGTCAGGGGAATGTGCTTCTCTGCTTCTCAAGGCCTAGGTCACACACATTCATCCTTTAAACTGGGAAGGCATTGGGGGGTGGGTGGGGATCAATCAGTTCCATAGAAGTATAGTGATGTGGGTGGAGACCAGTGTGTGTGTGTATGTGTAGGGGAGTAGTATGGTAAACAGATGCTGGTCAGCCAGTGCAATTCCACTCTCTTCCTTTGTTGAGTTCCAAGAAATTCCCTGAGATTGGAGCCCTGTGAACATGGATATCTGCCAAACTGGCCTTGTCTGTGACTGCCAGCTCTTCCCTAGAAGAGGGGGTATAGAAGTGGAATACTCCCAAAACTCAGTGTGTCCTGCCTACAGCTTGGTCCTGCAAATCTTTCTCCTGCTCTAAATGTTCCCAGCAAGCTGCACAGTGCATGCAATGTCCTTCCAGACGCTTTGGCAGCTAGTAAGTCATGTATACAAAGAACTATTCAAAACAGAGTGTGGTCAGTTCTTCAACAGAGTAGTGAAAAGATGTTTGGAGAACAGAGATAAAGGCATACACCATCTGGCTGGGAGCTTGGGAGCAGACAACCCATTCAGGGACTAGCAAGCACCCAGAACAAGCTGAAGTGTAATGATGAGTAATGATAATAACAGCAGCTAATACATATAGTACTTACCATATGTCCTGTTCTGAGAACTTTACATGAATTAACTCAGTGAATCCTCACTATAGTCTTTCAAGTAGGTACAATTATTTCCCTCGTTTTAGAGTTGAGGTTAAGTAATCTGCCCCAGGTTACATAGTAAGGAAGTAGCAGGATAAGATTGGGTTCCCATCCGGAGTGTCCCAAAGGCCTGGATACAGTGTTAGCCTTGACTTTCAGCAGCTATTTCATCATTCCCAATGGACTCAAACTTCCTGAGAGCAGGACTGAGTCTAGTGCACCTTTGTTTTCTCTAGAACACTTAGGTGGGCTCTACACTTAAGTTTATTTAGGTGGGTTCTACACTTAGTTAGAAGCTACATATATAGCCTCTTTGAATAGACTATCTTTACTGGAATGAACATCTTTATACAAAATAGATGAATGAAATCTTTCACAGTGGTTAGAACACTGGACAGGAAGTTATGGCTCTGACTAATTGAAGCATTCACCTCTGACTCAGTGTGTGACTCTGGGCAAATAATCTAATGGCTGAATGCTACAAAGTTTCCAGCTGTATAAGAGGAAAACAAGTATCCAGTGTACTTCACAAGGACACAGTAAAAATATAATAATAAATACATATATTAAAATCTTGCCATACTTAAAAGGGAAGGTACAAGAAACCAAGATTTTTTTCTTTATTTCATTATAACTTCACTAATCAGCAAATATACCTTAGGAGCTAAACGATCACTATGGGATTACGACAGAATAATAAAATGATTTCTGCTAATCCCTATTGAATAACCGGACTTAATGGGCAAGATCAAGTTAAAGAGGTAAACATAGAAATTATTTAGTAGAATGTGAAGTTGGGAAAGTACATGGAGCCCACTTCGTCCAACACATATAAATAGAAAATGAAATCTAAAAGAGGGAAGTAATAGACCCAGGAAGAGTGCTATCAACGCAGAAACACTTGTCCTCAGAGAAGAGGTCTGGGCTCTGGGTTTGAAAGTCAGTTGAAGAGGTTACGATCTGCGTGACTGGGGGCCAGTGCTTAGCTTCTCTGAACCAATTCCTTCTCTCCAAAATAGTGATAACAGCTTACTTCAGAGAGCTGTTATGAATTTTAAGTAACACCATGCGTGTAAAACTTGAATCTAGGGCCTCAGCACCGCAAGTCAACTTATTATCGTTGCTTCAGTAGGAGAAAGGTCGTTCCTGGCTCTTTTTCTGTAACACAAGCCATTCTCTCTCCAGTCAGACCCCATTCACAGGGTGAAAACACAACAGAAATGTGTTTTTGGTTAACAGGTCGGAGATGGGCGCTGCAGGAACCCGAACCCAGCCATCCCGGGCGGCAGAGCACAGCACCCCCTCGGCAAAGTCCATCTTCCATTTCCTTCCCCCCTTTTCGAAAAGGACCCCCCAGCGCCCCCCCCCCCGCCCCCCCGCTAGGTCGCTGGCCCCAGTCTAGCTTCTCCCTTCGTCTGTGTTGGGCACGCGGGTCACAGCAGGGAGGCGGCCAGGGCTGCGGTCGCACCCCCCCCCCCCGCCCCATTCTTCCCCGAGGTTCCCGCCCACCGCAGCGGCGGACACAAGCTGGGGGAGAAGCGGTTTCTTGTTGCGCTCCTCTCAGGAGTTTTACGGCAGGGCTCGTTCACGGCTCCGGCCGCCAGCCCCAGCCTCCCGAGTCCGGAGCTGGGACTGGCGGAGGCCGCGAGGGAGGGAGCGCGAGCGAGGAGGCACGCGCCCGCTAGTCCGCGCCCAGACTGCCGCCGCCGCCGCTTCAGCAGCCATGGCGGAGCGCCGCGCCTTCGCTCAGAAGATCAGCAGGTAAAGCTCGGGCGCGGGGCGCCCCTCCGCAGCCGGAGTGGGAGTCGGAGAGTCCCGCCGGGCTGGGCCTAGGAGGCGGGTGGGTGTGGCGACGCGGTAGCCGGGATCCCGGGGCCGGGCCTGCGGCTGGGCGGAGGGGCTCGCGGCCGGTGCGGCCGTCGCCGAGGCCTCGCCCTGTCCCCTCACCCCGGCCCTCACCCTTGCCTGGTCGGGGGACCTACGGAGCCCTGGGCACCTGCCTCTGCCGCCTGTTTGGCGGCCCGGGCCTGGAGTTTGGAAGCGGCTGATAGAAGGGCGGGTGGGGGGAGCTCCTCCACTGGCCGGCCGCTCGGCGCTTCCCAAATTCTTTGTGTCCTCCGGCGCCCGGGGGGAGCCGCAACGCCGGGCCCCCTCTCTTTCCCCGCCCACTCCCCGTTGGCCCTCTGGTGGGTCCGGGGGTCCGCCTTCCTCTCCACCCCAACAAAAGGAGCGGCGCGCGGCAAGCTCCTGGCCGGTGGGAGGCCACCCCTCCTTCACGCCTCGTTCCCTTTTTGAGAAATCTGACAGGAGCCCTTTCTGCATCCAGGGGCCCAATTCACCGCGGGCTCGTGCACCCAGAATTTAGAACGTACGCCCAAAACGAAAAGTTGAGAACCTGTGGTCTGCACCTTCGCTGTGCAGCTGCTGAATGTCTGACGCTTTGTGGGCTGAAGCTCGGTGTTCACACCATGTGAATTTCAGCGTGCCCGGGTGTTGGTCCGCATGCCGGGGCCAGAAGGACGGCGGGCAGTGTTCTTTCCGCACCGGCCCTCTCGCTCCGGTTTTAGGGGTCTGGAAGTGAGCGAGCGATGGAGGTTGAAGTTTCCCAGGCTTTTACCTACTTGTGTGCCGATTGCCACCCTTCTCGCACTCCCACCACCCCCTCAAAACTGAAAGTTGAATTGCTGTGTAGGATTCTAATATTTGTAGAATTTCTTTGTAGAATATACTAATGGACAAGACAACGTTTTTGGTTTTAATGAGACCATATTTCTATGAATTATGATGTCCTAAGAAAAACATTCAGATGTGTTATTATTTTTTTTACAATTGTATTTTTGTGGCTGTGGATCTTTTTACTTTAATGACATTTCTTAAAGAATTTTTGGACCTCCTAAACTTAACTCCCTTTCTTAACTGCCTGAATTTCCATACCCTAACATTTCTTTGATTTAAGCTCAGGGCTTACTTTTTTTTCTTCGAGTTTTAGACCACATACTTTTTCTTCTCCTTAAGAGGGAAAATAGCAAGTACTAAAGAGCACGGCTCTAGTGTCAGACTGTGACAAGGGTTCAGATCCCTACTGTTATTTTCTCATTTACCACCTTGGCCAAATTGTTTAAGCTCTCTTAAGTTTTAGTTTCCTCATCTGGAAAATGGGTATAATAACAGTACTCAGATTATAGAGTTGGAAAATTAAGATCCCCAAACTTTTTGGCACCACGGACCGGTTTGGCGGAAGCCTGGTGAGGGGAGGGTGGCTCGCCTGCTGTCGATGGAGGGTTAGTGGGGGCCAGAGGGGAGGCGGAGCTCAGGTGAGCTTTGCTTGCATCGCGGTTCCTAACAGGCCGCTGCCTAACAGGCAGGTTGGCAGCCAGGGGATTGGAGACCACTGGTGTCAAGTGTTCATAGCATAGTGCATGGTCTATGAGAACATTGAACACATAATAATTTGTATATTCTAGGGAGTTGTGATAGGTTTCATGTAAAATTATTACTTTTTTTTGTAAAACAATTGAGTCTTTTTTCTAAAGGCAATGCCGGTTTTAAAAGATTAAATGGGTATTACTTGACCCATGTGCTTAGTATTAATTTCTCTTTAATGTAACCAAAAGTTAATCTCTGAGAACATTGCGCCGATCAAGAATGTGCACATTAGGCAGTTAGACATAAAATATATCTAATGTCTAGTTCTCCATCTATGCAGTGTGTACTCAGATGGGACAGGACAACACACACACACACAGAGTCAGTTTTGCAAAACAGGACTAAATTCAAATTAATATAGCCTTGTAAAGTTGTAAAGTTAAGGCTATGGAAATAAAGAGCCATGTGTTTATCAGAGAGATATAAGATAGACATGGCAGTGATTGGTGATTGATTGGATATTGAAGATGAGGAAGACTAAGGAGTCTGGGATGACCTCCAGGTTTCTGACTTGGGAAATTGGGTGGATGGTGGAGGCAATTATTGAAGTAAGGTGAGGAAGAAGATGTTTGCGGGTGAAAATGAGGTGTAATGGAGATGATGATTTAGTTCTGGGCATGTTGATTTTGAGGTACTCATGGGGCATTCAAAGAGAAATGTCTACTAGGTTGTTGGTGCACATTTAAAGTGCAGAAGAGAGAGACTGGGCTGAAAAATCTAGGTTTGGGAGTCTTCAGCAAGTTGATTATAATTGAAGCCAGAGGAGTAGATGAGAGTCCAGGAGAAATGTACAGACTTAATGTGGAGGGAAGACCAAGGACAGAACTGCTATAGATGGTGAATTATTATCTGCTTATTGTGAATGAAAGGTACTTTCATCTTTGTTGCCAAATATGGCTGAATAATACTTCTGAGTAAATTCTCGTTTTGCTTCTTAGTTTCCTACTATAGGAAGTATAGCACGGACTTTGGAGGCAAACTGCGTAGTTTGACATCCTGGCACTGTTCTTCATTGCGTAGACTTGGGGATGTTACTTCACCTCATTATGCCTTATTTTCCCTATCTATAAAATAAGATAACGGTAGGAACTACCGTCTAGGGTTGTTGCAAAAGTTTAATAAATCAGTACATGTAAAGTGCTCAGAACAGTGCTTTTTAGTAGTGTCCAGTAAATATCAACTATTATTTATGTATAAATAAATCAACATATCAAGTATGTATAGTATGGTTTAGGACCTCTTCTGGGTAGAGATAATCCTTTTTCTTTTTTAAAGATTTTATTTATTTGTAGAGAGAGGGGAAGGGAGGGAGAAAGAGAGGGAGAGAAACATCAAATTGTGGTTGCTTCTCATGTGGCTCCCACTGGGGACCTGGCCTGCAAACCAGGCATGCGCCCTGATTGGGAATCGAACCAGCAACCCTTTGGTTCACAGCCTGTACTCAATCCACTGAGCTATGCCAGTCAGGACTGAGATAATCCTTTTTTATCATGTGCATATATGAACTTTGTTGTTCTATGAAAAACCTGTTGTTATTTGGAACCTCTTCTTTTTTAAAGCTTTATAAGGGTCAGAAACCTTTACCTAAAAATAATTATGCTGATTTCTTTGCTGGCTCAGTTATTCCCTAACCATTTGCTGTTATTTTAGTGTGCTTATTTTTTTGAAGCTGTGATTTGGTAATTTCTCCAAGCTCTTTACACTGTATCACTGATCGTACTACTCACCTCAGCTCATCATAGAAAGCAGCACATGCATTTTGTCCAGATCAAGTATTGCCTCTTGTCTCCCTGCTTCCTGAGGACAAGGCATGTGCATTGTTAACCTTTATAATCACCCCCAGCATATAATAGGTACAATTTTTGGAATGTTGACTGTAATTAATGATCTAGGATTTTGTTTGGATTATTTTGTTCTGTGATGTGATATTCTGCAGTAGCAAGGATCACTTGTAAGTATTTTTTTTACTGCATTCTTATTTTCACAACCCAGAGGGGCAGAAGAACATAGTAAAAAAGAACACAGGCTCCAGGGAACATTGTACAGGTTGAAATTCTGCTCATACAGTATCACATAATAGCTGTGTAATTCCGGGCAGTTGACTTAAACTCTCTGTCTTCATTTCTTCATCAGTAAAATGGGGATAATTGACTCCATAAGGTTAATGTGAGGATTAAATTAGTTAATACATATAAAACACTTAGAACCATTCCTGAAACATAATAACCATTCAAAAAATTGTTAGCTGCTGCTATTCATATTCCTATATTATTTTCCGTTATTATTCTTTCTATAATTCAGGAATTGAGGTTTATAGAACATGAGATTATTTGCCTAAATTGGGACTCAAATCCTAGCCCTCCGATTGCAGGTCTTACACTTTTTATTCAACTGTATTTTCTTTCTGCAAAATATTTTCTGAGGTAGTTCCAGATTTTCTAACAGTGCCACTGTTAGCATCTCAAAAGCTACCCTTGCCTTTGAGTCTTGTTTTTGTTAATTTAGTATCATTTTGCTGCCTAAGAAGCAAAATTTAGTGAAAGGCTTCATCAGTTCTTTATTTCTGAGGAAATTTAGCATGAGTAGGGTTTCCTAGATACAGGCTTATTTATAAACTCAATTGTTTTTAGTCTTGAACCTCTTTATAACTCTGACTAGATAGGCCCAATCTTTCAATCTGCTGAATCTACATTGCTCAATTCATTATCTTACTCCTGATCAAAGTAAATCCTTTCTAATTAGTATCAACTCATTGCTGCCTTTACTTTTTAAAAAAAATCACTTCATTAAGTATATTTTATTCATTATGTTATTACAGTTGCCCCATTCTTTTTTTCTTCCCTTGATGCCCCTACCTGGAGCCCCCATTCCCTCCAGCATTCCCTGCCTTAGTTCAGGTCCATGGGGCATACATAGAAATTCCTTGGCTTCTCCATTTCTTATACCATTCTTAGCCTCCCCTTGTCTATTTTGTACCTACCAATTATGCCTCTTATTCCCTGTACCTTTCTCCCCATTCTCCCCCTCCCCCACCCCTCCCTGCTGATATCCCTCCATGTGATCTCCATTTCTGTGATTCTGTTCCTGTTCTAGTTATTTGCTTAGTTTGTTTTCACTTTTGTTTTTACATTCATCTTGTTGAGAGTTATGAGTTTGTTGTCATTTTACTGTTCATAGTTTCGATCTTCTTTTTCTTAGATAAGTCCCTTTAACATTTCATATACTAAGGGTTTGGTGATGATGAACTTTAACTTGACCTTTTCTGGGAAGCACTTTATCTGCTCTTCCATTCTAAATGATAGCTTTGCTGGATAGAGTAATCTTGGATGTAGGTC